TCGAAAAACCTTGCTGTTTCTGATCACAAAACCCAGCAGTTTGGAGGCTGCCCTCATTATGTTCTCCATGTGGAGTTGGAGAGATTTGTGTTAACGTAAAAAAAAAGTATATTTCGACACTCAATTGAATCAAAATTAATAGGGTATTTTCCGTTGACCTAGAACTATGAAATTTGGCAATAAGTAACACTACTATCATCATCATCATCATCAACAGCCTTTAATAGTCCACTGCTGGACATAAGCCTCTCTTTAGAAAGGAGGTTTTGGCCTACTATACCACACTGGCATGACGGGTTGGTATAGGGTTTCGACGGGCGCGGAAAACTCTGAAGCAGGCCATTAGCCGCGCCAAAGAGGAAAAAAGACAGGAGATGCTGGAGGGTCTTAATCGTGACCCCTGGGGTCGACAAAAGCTCCGCGCGTCGGGCCCCCCCCTTACGGAGACTCTCCAGCCCAGCTTCCTGCGAGAAGTGGTTGAGGGCCTTTTCCCACAACGAGCGGAACACACTCCCCCGTCGATGGCCTCCCTGGCCGGAGACGACGGGGAGCACGGGGAGGACAATGTTCCGCACGTCCGGGATTCGGAGGTAGGGGCGGCTGTTCTACGGATCCGTTCCAAGAACACCGCCCCTGGGCCAGACGGGGTACCGGCCCGAGTGCTGGCCCTGGCCCTCAACCACATGGCAGACCGCCTCGGGGAGGTGTTCGACGCTAGCTTGGCGTCGGGACGCTTCCCTGAGTGCTGGAAAAGCGGGCAGCTGGTCCTATTGAGGAAGCCGGGACGGCCAGCCGATTCGGTCGCGGCCTATAGGCCCATCGTGCTGCTGGACGAGGCGGGCAAATTGTTTGAGAGGGTTCTTTCTGCCCGCATCGTCCGGCACCTCTGCGAGGTGGGCCCCGATCTGTCGGACGCCCAATTTGGTTTTCGGGCGGGGCGTTCGACAGTCGACGCCGTGTTGCGCCTGAGGGCCGTGACCGAAGAGGCCGTGAGCTGTGGCGGCGTGCTGTTGGCGGTGTCATTGGACATCGCCAACGCATTCAATAGTCTGCCATTCAGCTGCATCAGGGAAGCACTCCACTATCATGGGGTGCCAAAGTACCTGAGGCGGCTAGTGGCAGACTATTTAGAGGAGCGTACCGTCGTGTACGAGGACCGAGAAGGTAATCTGAGGTGTCGGCCCATGTCGTGCGGTGTTCCACAGGGGTCTGTTCTTGGACCCCTCTTGTGGAACATAGGGTACGACTGGGCCCTTGGCGCCGATTTCCCCCCCGGGCTGGGTGTAATCTGTTACGCAGACGATACCCTCGTGACAGCCCGGGGGGCAAACTTCCAAGAGGCGGCGCGCCTGGCCACAGGGGGAGTCTCCCTGGTGGTCGGGCGCATTGAGGCGCTGGGCTTACGGGTGGCCCTAGATAAGACGGAGGCCCTGTTATTCCATGGGCCCCGTCGTGGTCCACCCCCTGGCGCCTCCATCGTGGTCAACTCGGTCCTCGTACCGGTTCGGGCCCAGATGAAATATCTGGGCCTGATCCTCGACGGGAGGTGGCTCTTCGACGAGCACTTCCGACAGCTTGCTCCAAAGCTGGTCGGCGCTGCGTCTGCCCTAGGGCGACTCTTGCCCAATATGGGTGGACCCAGCGTCGCGACAAGACGGCTGTACACGGGGGTTGTCCGGTCAATGGCACTGTACGGTGCACCGGTGTGGGCGGCGGCTCTGACCGCCCAGAATAGGGTACGCCTCTGGCGCCGTGGTTTTAGTCGGTCCGAGTCCGACACACCACCCCGCCGCAAACCCCGGAGGGGTGACGGTCCGAGGGGATTTCCACACGTTAAAAAAAAAAAAAAAAAAAAAAAAAGGGTTTGTGTCAAGTTTTCCTTCTCTCTGCAGTGTTATTGTTCTGCATAGTTTTTTCCGTTAGTTGACTCTTACAACACCCACGGGATGAATAGGGGTGGTGACAATCTGTATTCTTAATCCGTCACCACACGGACGGTAATACTACTAGTATAGGAGAAAATCCGAAAAGTATACATTTGTGATTAAATCATAAAAAAAAACAGGACCTTTATGCAAGGAACGGGGGTCCAAATTTTGAATTCAGGTAACCGTGTCATGTGGGGTATCGTATGAAAGGGCTTGAAGCTTAAACAGATTTTTAATTATTTTTATGACGTATAGTTTTCGATTACAAATTGTACTTGTCCGGTTTTTTGTTATTATATCATTAAAACTCGCTGCATGAGTACATTTGCTCTACTTACATTACCAAAATCAAAATCGATGTTTGTATTAACTCTTTTAAGAAAGATAGGAGGGTGGCACTCAAAGGGCGGCGTACTTGTAACCCTTAGGATGTAGCTATCCATTGGCGACGGTAGTCAAGTTACCATCAGTAGCTTGACTTGTTGGTGACAGTGAAATGACACAAGTCAAAGTCGTGGTGACGCATTAAGAATATGGATCAACGCCCCTATTCATTCCGTGGGTGTCGTAAAATTCAACTAAGGGAGCAAACTACGCAAGACAACTGAACTTCAAAGAAAAGGGAAACTTGACGAAAACCCTATACCAACAACTCTGGCCCGCGTGGTATAGTAGGCCAAAACCTCCTTTCTAAGGAGAGGCCCATGTTCAGTAGTGGATATTACATGCTGTTGATGATAATAATTATTGATGAAGTTAAATTAGTAGCAATTTGTCCCAATTGGGACACGTGAAAGAAAGGGTGTTATGGAAATTTGAAAATGAAACATTTAGAAAATACAACTTTTATTTATTATCTACAATATAATCTTATAAATCAAATTCATTAAATATTTTACATTACTACGACATACCAGTAAATACATTAAACATGACTCCGACCATACGGTCTTTGAATAATTTTATACTTTGAAATAAAAATATTTATTCAATATTATATATATTAGTATATTAATTTAACAATTAGGTAAAATAGCACCTTTTGTTAGAATGTGTGAGAAATATAAGGCACATAGGAATGATTTAAAATAAAAAAGAGCGAGCCATACAGTAGTCGCATTTTTGATGTGTGACATCTGACATCTTACCTGCTACCTGACGGCCAACTTTGGCAACTGACGGCCAACTTTGGCACCTGACGGCTAACTTTGCCACCTGACGGCCAACTCTGAAATATTACAAATGCGAAACTGTGTCTGTCTGTCTGTTACCTCTTCCGCTGAACCGATTTAGATTATGTAGAGAGATAGTTTGAGTCCCGGGAAACGACATATTTATGATAGTTTTTATTCAAGAACTCATCCTTTAAGGTAGTGAAAAGGGGCTGGAAGTTTGTAAGGGGAGTCAATAACCGCTAAACAGATTTAGATGAAATTTGATATGAAGATAGTTTGATTCTTGAGGAAGGTCATAGGCTGTTTTTTACCGCAATAACCGACATACACGCGGGCGGAGCCGCGGGCAAAAGTTAGTTGGTGTATAAATCCGACGACACCACCAAATCAGATTGCAGGAAAACGAGAGGAAAAATATCACACATCAAAAAGTATACAGATATCATTCTTGTGTATGGAAATACCAATTCTATAGAAAACATAATACGAGTTCCATTTATAACAAAACTCAGTGAACACATGACATCAATTTACCTAAATGTGATATCCAAATGATATAAAATTAGTGTTTAATGTCACATTGATATCACATTTACGTAAATTTACGTCATGTGCTCACTGGGAATCTACTGTGTAACTAATAATAAAATATGTACTACTCCTGATATACGTAATTATTATATATCTTGACAACTTTCTTTTAAATTTCTTAATAAAATATTAGCTTTAGATGGGTAAACCATTGACGTAATTCTGGGAGATATTGGCTCTGAACAACGGTACAGTAAGCGCTAGACATAGTCAATGAAGTATTTGTGTCTATGTTTTAAAGTGAGCGCAAATGTAAAAAAACTACTAAAATTATTTATTTAACTGGCAAAATATATTTTCATTCTAATATATTTCATTATTAATTCATGAATGGTATAATTTTCATAAAGTTCTTACAATTTTTTTTGTCTACAATTATTATCTCATATTAAGTTTTGCTGTAGGTTATCGTGTATCAATAAATTATCTATGATTACACACCATTCGATTTTTAAAAACTATAATTAAACACTTATAGTTGCCAAGTTTGAGCAATATCATTAAGTATCGTGTTTATAGAACTCTTTTAAACGTATTTTAGCTCAAAGCTCTCCTTTTCGTGAGTAATAGTAATTTAAATATTAACGATAACGCTATTTTATTGTATAAATATAGTTCTAAAATGTAGTGAGCAATACATTTAGACTTTACAATAACAATGTTTAATTGTCCTTTGTCATTTATTGTATATTTGCATTGTATAGCCCGGATTTTTTTAAATGGAAGAGTTCATTTTTGACATTATGGTGGGAAACAAATTATACTCACGCTACGGTCGAGGCAGAATGCTTGCACTTTGAAAAAATGTAAATTAATTCAATAAAGGTTAAAATTATTATAATTCATATTTAATATGTTTTCATACTATTTGGCGGTTATAAGTACCTATTGGAATGTAAGTTAAAAGGGATTACTAATTATATTAATATAATAATGATCTCACATAAATACTAAATGATGATTAAAATGAAAATAGAAGTACATGTCGACTACTGCGCATGCGCGCAAATATTTTGTGCCCTAAAATCCTATTATCATTTTAATCAAATATATTAAATCTTAATACTATCTAAGACGATACGAGTCTCGCGTTTGGCAATCTACGTTTAGTTATTGGAAACTTAATACCGAAATTAAACGAACATTGCCGAAGCGCCTGGTGTCACAGTACTCAGATCTGTAGTGGACGGATATGTTAGAGATGAGGTATATGGGTGAACTACGGACGTGCGACGGTTACTACATTACTTTATATATAATACACTTCACACTCATTCCAGTCTGTTTAACTTATCCCATCCGCTTTTTAATTGTTAAAAGCTGAAACAATAAAAAAATGTCAGTGATTATCCTATAAAGTAATAATAATGAAAATAATAATTCGCATCTCACACACGGCTGATCTCAAACTAGACAGAATCTGTACTTTACTGCTCATTAACATACTTTTATATGTTTCTAACTACATATACGAGTATATATAAATAACACATATCGTGTGATCGTGTTTTTCATACAATTATTTGTGTGCAAAAATTTATCCAGAAAGGGGGTTATGGGGTTATGACCCCTACTAAGCTAGATTTAGTTCTTACGAGGCATGAGTACATAAAATGACACCCTCAGGAATTAACAGCTGGATCTGTCCCTATTTGGGTGGGTATCAAACTTACTGTATTGTCAGTCAAACGGTGATAACAAATTAAATTTGGAAGTGATATAGTCATTAGTTAGACAGAGTTGTTAGATGAGGCGTGTTACCTGGCGAGTGCCTCTGGTCCCGCTGCAGCGCGATGTACTGCCGCACGAGGCGCGCCACCTCGTGCGCCTGCTCGGCCTGCAGCCGCGTCACGCGCTGCTGCAGCAGGGAGCCGCACTTCACGTCCAGGAACAGGGTGCCATCTTCTGAACGGACCTGCAATCGTATCGTTTTGTAGTACGATGCTGTTTTAGTTAATACAGATATACTGTGTGTGCCGTTTAGGGTTGACAGCAAGTGGAGGCTTGTCAAATAATATATATTTATTTAGTGTTTATATGTATTTTAAAACAGTTGTCAATATTATCAACGTTTCAGCCACAGGATCTCTATTCTCCATTTTAAATTATGTTATTGAATTAAAAGTACCGTCATTTATGTAATTTATTGATAAAATACATTAGTTTCAAAAGTGGTTTAAAAATTATAAAATACAATATAAGACTTCAAGTTTTAACTATAATTGGAGTTTGAAAATGTTTACTTATGTCGTAGAACTGTGAAAGAATGGCACTCATACAACAACTTGTTGTGCTGTAAGGCGTTTAGTAAGTATGTAAATTATAATAAATTTTTATACAGACTAATTAAATTAATTAAAATATCATTTTTAAATAGTCAGTAACATTTAGCAGATGTCAGAAGGAGTGTGATATGTGGGTGCTTCCATACCTTCCGTGTGGAGATGAGTTCCGCGTAGGGCCAGTGCGTGTCGGTCTCGTGCGTGGCGGGGTGCAGCAGGTGCACGCCGCGCCGGTTCAGCGCCAGCACGTGCTCGCGCCACTCGCCCCCCCCGACCCCCCCGCCGCTGCCTCCGTTCGACACGCGCCGCACCGCGAAGAACGAAGAACCGAAAAGCGGCCATCTTGATAACACCTAGAAACAAAATGTCGACTTTATTTATGCAACCCCGGAATAACCTAACATATATGTAAATGGTAGGAAAGAGAAGGATGAAAATACTATGTGTTTTTAATGCATTTGGTTTTGGAAGCGTTTAAAAAGTGTACACACGTATTGTATACGTACAGTTTATAATACGAATATTTTAAGTACCTGTAGAACATTAGCCTTAGCGGCAGCGGGAGCCAGATTCCGCACGTGCTGCCACTCCTGCGCGAGCCAAGTGGCCCACTTGTTAGGGCGCGGCTCCCGTAGCGCCAGCAGGGGCTTCGGCAGCAAGAACTTCAGGTCCCTTGCGGCCGCAGCCTCGGCCAGGCCGGCGGCGCGGTGCAGCAGGGCCGCCACCAGCGCCACGTCACGAAGCGCGGGCGCGGGGGGAGCGCCGCCCCCGGGCAGCACCAGGAGCAGGCCCTCGAGGTAGTCCGGGGCGACCTGAACGGCAGATTATGGTGTGACAAACTAACACTTAAGGTAAACTACTACTATATAAGATTGATTGTTTCTAAATTTGAACCAAACCAGTTATCCATGGTAACCAGTTATCCATATAGCCATGGATATTATTGCTACTTTTAACACTAGCCATGGGTAATATTTATTTGTTGAAATGATTCGATTTAGTCACAGTGGTTTTACATGTGATTGTGATTTCGTCATATAAAAGAGGAATTAAAATCAATCAAAATTCTTTTTGTTACGACCTTTTCTTTGGCTTTAGACCTCTTGCGAGTATTGCGTTGGCGTAATAATAATAATAGTGGCAGTGGTTTTATAAATAAGTCACATGTGTGATTTTATGATTTATCACATGTGATTGTGATTTTATTCAATCCCTAAGTGTCCAGTACGTCCACACACAATAAGAGGAGCTTCTTCATGGTAATAGTTCTAACATAATTCATATTATTTTCTTATGAAATGCAGAGGATGAACCGCAGTTCAAAAGTTGAGTTCTATTTTCTAACTTTACTTTGTGGTGGTATATTAACCACGATAATAGGATAGGGTGAATCTGCTACGGTGAGACTAACCTAGTTTCTCTGCCCTATCCGTTTTATTTACCCCACTACCCCACCACTGCAGCAAAACTAAAATATACACCAAGTATCAGATGGATAACATGACTGCTACATTAGTAGCTCTAAGAAGCCTAAATCGCCTACAGAAAACCAGAATTAATCCAGATATTTAAATAAAATGGTTAAATAAAACACCATACCTGGTTGAATAATACTTCAGTGTACAAAGGCGGTGCGTCGTTTCTGAGCGGATGATGCCAGACGGATCGACAGAAGATCAGGTAGAAGGGGTGATGAGCCCGCTGCAACTCCGTAGTGACGTCCAGCACGTATTCGTCGGCCGCCAGGGGCATTGTCAGGGCATCACCCGCCACTATACAGTACAGAGAAAACTCCGCGCGTTCTGCTTCGCTTGTCACGCCGATCTAAAAAGGAAAACAGTTACCATTTATTAAGCTATTGCATAGCTTCTATCGCGGGCCTTGAGCGTGGAGACCGAATCCAGAAATTAAAATAACCTAACACCTCCCAGTACATACATACAGTACATACTTTTTAGTTTTGCCATCTATCGATGAATAGCAGAACTTTTTTTAAGGTAGGGTGTTCCTTTGACATGACAAAGGGGGGAGACTAGTTTATTTTTATTAATGTAATAACATCCACATACAATACCCCCTCTCCCCCAAAATTTTATAATTGCATTGAGGTCCCTTCAAAATACCTCCCCTTCTCTCCCCTCCACTTTTTTCATTTATCTCCCCTTTGATTTTCTCGGTACCTGGAGCACTTGGACTCCCATGTTTGGGTTTGTCTGAACTGGGAAAAGGAGATGAACAATCTGGCACCTACAGATTTTTTTTTAAAAGTATCGTAACATGTAACAACACTTCAGTCTGTTTTTCTAAAGAGGGGCGAGGGGGGGAGGGGGGTTATTTTCGAGGGATGACTTATTGTAACAGGAATTGTACAATTGATATCTACCTTTCACAGAATAATGCATCAGTGTATTTAGTAAACATGCTACTATATATAATTGTATGATGCCCTCGTAGGTTTATATATAATATACCCTCTGTGACGAATAAGCATAGAGTTTTGTATGTGTGTGTAAATTATGATTGTAGTTTAAATGTGTGCAACTGACGGAATACGATTTCAAACAGAATATTAGATAGTTAACGGTATTTCTAACTACATATTCTTAGTTCTGAAGTGTAGTTCTTTGAAAAAAATAAGTTCTAGATGATGGATTGGCATCCCATTTTGCCACAGTTGTAGGTAATTAGTTGTTACTAAGTTCTGCTTATTTTAACAATTTGTCATTAAAGACCCAAGAACTAGCTTACGCTTACACAGCACACGTAAGCGTAGTCATGAAATATTTCTAAATACACACATAATATACACATCAAGAAATTATACAACATCAAATACATTTTTTTTACTTTGTTTTTAGAAGTACATACATAGTAATATCGTAGTATATAACGACCATTAATACAAAGTAAAGTAGCAATAAACACAAAAACTTGAATCTTACAAAATAAAAAATTAGATAATGTAAACGTAAGTAGCACTAAACAATAAAAAATATAATAACAATTAATTAAAACGAAAATTAAGATGAATATATACGACAGAGGTTAATAACCTTCCTCCGAGCCTTTTTCCAAAACTAGGTTCGATTGGGCTTTATTAAGTTTACTACAACATGGCCGAACTTCGATTATTTACGCGACTGCCATCAGACCTTCACAACCCAAGTACTAGGCGATATCGAAGTTCCGTAGAGAGACCCTTGTCCTTGTCCAACTAACTGGTCTTTGAACGATTGCCACAGATGTACGTATGGCAACCGGGAACGACGGCTTAACGTGCTCTCCGGGGTAGACAGAGGTAATAATATAATTATTTAAATTTTGTAGATTTTTTATATCTTTCTATGTAGTGGGTAATAGTAAAGGATAGTATTGATAGCCTAAATGAGTATCGTATCGGCAATGTGCAGTACTGACCAGTTCGCAGAGGTCGTTGACGATGTCTTGCACGACGGTGGCGCAGCGCGTGTTGACGACGCGCTCGGCGCCGCCCGGCAGGCGGTACAGCTGGCGCCGCGCCGACCGCCCCGCGGACACCGCCGTCACCTGAACAACACAACATTCGTTAATTACAACTAAGCCACTTATAACACCATAGTAACATCGTCCTGCATTCATATGTGGGTCCGAGTTCCAACCCACCTTAACACAAGAAAAGTCATATCATGAAAAGAAAGAAGAAGTTAAATTCAGTAATTTTACTAGTATTTTTTAGGCAAATAATAACTCGACACATGTTATAATCTTCAAAAGTATACAGAGCCTGTACAAACAAATCTGCTGATAAACGTAATATTTCTAAAAATATACATATTACTGATAAATCAATTAACACCTTGACAAAGATCAAATAACAGTGCTAAACACGCAACTATTTGTTTTGGGTGGAAATCGAACCCACGACCTGTGGCTCAGTAGTCAGAATCACTAACAACTAAATATACAATTTGTAACATTGCCCTGACTGTGACAGGCTCTGTGCAGTCATCTCAGCTGACTGATAATTTTTTGGTTTTAAATCTTCAAACTACTTATACATAAAGATAATCGTTAAATAGACCAAGTTATGTGAAAATAATCAAGCAACGTTACCTCCTCAACACTAGGCACGTTCTTCCTTCCACCACATCGTAGTGTTTTCCTGAGGTTAGCGAGGCACACGGCCGCGGTGCCCTGACACGGACGCCGCCGGTCCGCAGCCGCAGCCGACAGATACTCTACTAGGAACGGCCTGCAACAAATAAAAAAATCATCATCATCAATAGACTTTAACAGTCCACTGCTGGACACAGGCCTTTCCTTACAAAGGAGGTACAGTAAAATAAAAAAATACCTCAGTATAAATCCATTACGTTAGGTATATCTATAAACTTATACATTTTCAAACTCATATCCACATTCCATCCATTATAAAAAAATTAAAAAATATTCCTAGATCTATGTGACTACGAGTAACTAAAATTATTCTCAAACATTGAATAGAAATATAGGTATATGCATGATCACGTCGCCATTTGCTAACACTTTAGTCCCATGGCTTAATGTTAAGAAATTATCTGTCAAACCCCTAAATATGTCCGTGGACTCGTAGTGTATTATATACATAGTTGATAGTTCGACTGCACAGATGGCGTAGTGGTTTAAGCGGTCGCCACGCCGCTTCCTACTGCGCCGAGTGTTGTGGGTTCAAACCCCACATGGGACGACACTTTGTGTGATCCACAAATTGTTGTTCTGATTCTGGGTGTTCTTTGTGTCCGTATCATATATGTTTGTAAAATCCCCCGCGACACAGGATATATTCCTAATGCGGGAGTTGTCTTTTAAAAAAACAAAACAAACAAAGTTCTATACAATCAAACATTCTTACACCGGTGTGACTAAATTAAATTATCCGTTTTCAGAAAATATTTAGTCACAACAGAGTGCACATGACTCGTGGATGTATTTCACCACAGAGTAAAAAAAGAGGTATGCAAGCCATGTATTGTAAAAATTACGTTACGTGTTTAAGCTATCGTTTATTACAATGTCATTATTATAGTTTTTTTTTATGGTATGAGGAGGCAGACGGGTCACCTGAGGAAGTGATATTTTAAAACAGGAATTTCCAATTAGTACCAGGGGTCGACATAAACGAAAAGTCAGGGGTCGACGAGGTCTAAATATGAACCCCTATTAATAAACACAAGTTCTCATTTGAAACTTTCAAGATACTGTATTAGTTGCGTTACGTGTTCCAACTTGCTATAAGAATGCCTAATATTTTCGTAGGAAGTATTAATGTTGTACTTTTAAAAAACTCAACAAGTCGATTAGTGTGCAGTAATTTGGCAAAAAAGGGGTCTCTTGCCCAAAGTAAATCGGGAATCCCTGCTGTAAAGTTAAAAATGTATGTCATATATGAATTTCCGTATTAATTACCTGAGTGTATCGGAGCAGGTGAAGTACGCAGCGAGTATGGACATGAGTCGCCACGCGCGCTGGCACGAGTCAGGCGATGGCGAACGATTTGACGTGGTCTGTTTCATCAGCTGACAATATACCTCGTCGCGAAGTTCCGGTACCGAGTGACAGTGCTGCACAATAAATATCAGTGTTACAATTATATTTAACCAGCTGTACCCTGCCACACTTCGCTGTGGCACATTGTGATTGCATTAAACAAAACTGACGCGAAAAATAGATATAAACACTGAAGCATTTTTTTTCTTATCAAAACCTTTATAAGTAGAGGCCTATGTCCAGCACTGGACTGGACTGTGGACTGATAAAGGCTGTTGATGTGATGTGATGATCAAAATTTGAGCTCAATCGGTAAGAGTTTTTGAAGCGTACACAAACCAACTTAACATTTCGATAGATCTTTTTCTACTCGGAAAGACTAAAACTTCACGCCTTTAGAAATAGCACACATTAGATTGAAATATAATTTATGTGTTCTTTATATTACGTATACGGTATCTAGTATAGTATTAATAATCCATATTTCCATCATCATCAACAGTCTTTAACAGTCTTCTGTTGGACTTAGGCGTCTCCTTAGAAACGAGGTTTTGGCCTACTATACTACGCTGGCCAAACGGGTTGGTATAGGGTTTGGTTTAAATTTTCCTTCCCTTTGCAGTGTTGTTGTCCTGCGTAATTTGCTCCCTGAGTCGGCTCTTACGACACCCACGGGTTGAATAGGAGTGGTGACACTGTATTCTAAATCCGTCACGTCCACACGGACAATTGGTATTGGTATTGGTATTATAAATGTGACAGTAAGTTTGTTTGTTTGTTACGCTTTCACGCCTAAACCGCTAAATCGATTTTGAACAATCGTCCACCAATGGAAAACTACATTATCAGCAAGTAACATAGGTTTGTTTTTAGCGCGGTAACCAACATAAACGCGGGCGGAGCTGAGGGCAAAATCTAGTACTTTTATGAAATTGATAGTAAACTAATAACTGTAAAATAAAGAAAACAACTGTTAATAGTCGTAAACAACAAGTTACATTTGATAAATGCCTCTTCTACTGGAATCACTTACAAAACGGGTTTTATAGCGTAAATTACTTTTACATAATGATTATATTGCGTAATATTATCATCAACAGTATATTAATATGAATATACTTCGAAAATACATAGACTCTCACTTACTACATTTTTAAATGATTAAGCAGGTATATTTTTGGACATCTGACACACATCATCTAATTTCAAACTAATCAGAGCTTGTACTATGAAAGCTAGATTGACTGATAGAATACTTATATACTTTTTTTTGTAAATACATACATATTATAAATAGTAAACACCTACCCTTCCGAAATAAATATTTGTAGATCATACAATCATTTTTTCCGACTCAGGAATCGAACCCGAAACGTGAGCACAGCAGTCGCATACGCTACCACTGCTCCACTGAGGTAGTCATTTAATATATTAACTTTTATAAATGATTTTTACTATGCGCAAAAAATTTGCTTTTTACAAAAAAATTTAGCTTTGTGCACCTTTTCTGCACTAAATGTTAATTATTCCAAATAGGTGACATATTTGTTTAAAAAGGAGTTCAAAAGATTTTCTTTGACGTATTGATATGTTGATATGTATATAGATAACGCTTTTAAATAAATTAAAGAACGCTTACCTCCTTTATAAAAGGTAAATTTATAAATTTATCCCTCAGTTTTTTTTTCTTAATATATAAATATTTCACTCAGGAAAGCTTTTATTCCAAAAATTTAAAGCTAATGTAGGTTTATGTAGAAATGTCTAGGTGACGGCAGTAGAAGTGTATACTAACCATGAGCACAGTATAAACACATTTAACTTCAGTCAGATCCTGGTGTATAGACCGTTCGTTAGGCTGCAGGTCGCCGCAATACGCACGAACGCACGTGAAGCACTCGAGCGCAGGCGGCGCGAGCGCAGCAGGCAAGCGTAACAGCGGCGCTCGCAGCGGTGTCGCTTGCCACTTCACCACGTCCGTTTGCGCTTTCCATGTCCATTCGTTACGCTTAGCTTTGCTCTTTAGCGATGAATCCGCTTTTAATATTTCTAATCTGTTAAAAAAATAAAATATATTACATTTTCTAATAAGATAGTCCTTTATTCGTAATAGAGAGTGGGTTTTAAACTGACAGTTCAAAGTGCAAACTGATCTCTGGTCACAATCACTAGGCGATCGCTATTTATTTAACTTATACAAATTAGGTTAACATCATGAAGAAACCCTTCTTATTGCATGTACACTAAAAAAATTGACAGTGTTTTCGAAAGCTAAGCTAAGACAAAAAGATCTCTGTTTTTTTTTTTATAAAATTCACCATTGAAACTTTTTAGCAATATATATTTTTTTAATGCACAAAAATACGAAATGATTTTAACAAACTTTGTTAAAATAAACGACGATGCATAATACCCTATTTCGCCTATTTAACAGTAATCTAGTAATTTATTTTAAAATATATAGCTACCATTCATCATCAACAGCCTTTGATAGTCCATTCCCTACATGATCATTTAAATAAATACTGGATTTACTGTTAAATAGCGTCTGAAAACAGCTTATTGGCAACGCGTAAGAAGCAACCCTAACCTACGTATGAAAAAGTGAATGATAAATCCCAGTTCACTGGGATTTTGTCTCATGTCTAGGACTAACTTTTAACCCAACCATATCTCTCGTGGCCCATACTGCAAGACTGGGGCTCTTGTTCCCTCTAGGTTATATCTCTATGGTCAATAGTTTATAGTTTTTAAAAATTATTTTATGTCCCCATGCTTATGTATTACTTGACAGGTTAAGTATAGGAATGTTTTTGATGCTGGTAATGCTGGTAAGTATGCATACACCTCCACTTCATACCTGTATATTTAGTCTCATTCTTCATAATCATAATTTCTTATGTCGCGTTAATTTAGAAAATACATTTATAGATAAATATATTATATTAATTTAACTTAAATCTTTAAGGCCGTTTAAGAAGCAGTTACTGCATTTAGTTCTACATATGTATTTAAGAATAGTGAGAAGTTTACTTCTTAATAACTTTGGTTCAATTAACATAATTACGAGTATGTAGTCTTACAATAAATTAAACTTGTGTACTTACTTGTAAAAGTACAGTAAATGAATAAAATTTTAAGAAAGTTTATTATGATTTAGTTTACGTAAACAAGAACAAATTAACAATAATTTTTTCGATCATCTTCGACCCGCCTATATTAAAAACCATTAATTAATCATAATATATAGAAAGGTATGCCAACGTAACTACGTGTATATTTAAGAAAATTGGAATTCACCAACAGTTTAAGATAATCAACTTAAATGATTTACAAGGGATCGATAGATAATTGATTATAATTAGACGCCGACAAAATGGCTTTTTGAGGAGATGTTACGATACTTTACTTGAGTTGAGAAAACATGTTATAACGCCCCTGTGTATATGAAACGCAAAATAACTAAAATCAATTAATACAATTTGCGGCTACTATGATTTTAATGTATTGTCTAATACATGTTGGTTTAATTACACATTTTGAGTAAGTTAGTTCTACAACTTGTCGATAGATGGCGTTGATCTTGTTTTCTGAATCGCGCTATTAAGATATACGAACGGGTGTTCTTAAGGTTAGAAAAATTAATAAAATGTGTCTCTGTTCTGAGTGTGGTGTTTTATTTCGTGATACTTTTGGGAAGTGTACATTTGGTCCTTCGAGCCGGATAAAGGACTGGCATACATTGTCCCCGTGGAGCTAGTTTTGCGGCAGCGCATCAAAGGTGAAGAGTGGAGCAGCGCAAGCATCAGCGCGCATACATTGCGCATGAGCCGTGTCGCAGTTGGAGTAAGCAGTGTTTGCAGTGTGAGGGGAAGGTCGACCCCCCTTGACCTACGGCGAGCTACGTAATACGTGAGTGGACAGTGTATATGAAGTGATTGAAGATAAACTGTGAGTACTTTTAATTATTTAATAATAGTGGAGTTAAATTTATTCAAGATTGACTATTTAATGTTAAATGTTAGCTTGGACTTAGAATAGTTTCTTAAAAAGTGAAGAGACGGGGAACCTATGCCCGATTTTAGTTAGAATTTCACCGGAAAAGACTTGTAAATTTTTAAAAGAATTTATATCTACACTGACTTTGTGCAATAAAACTTAGTGATTCGAAGTGCTACTACTAGTGGTTTGTACAAAATGCAAGCATTCGAAAGAATTCAATTGGACACAAGTGCGGCTATTGCCCGAGCACGTTCTAACTTTAAAAAATCTCCAAAGGAGCGAATTACACAAAATTACGTCGAAGTAAGGTTGGAGAGTTTAGAAAAGCAATGGAAATTATTTAATGATTCACATTATAAGATCCTGCAAGAGGTTGAGGAAACCGCATATTTCGCATCTAAGTATTATTCTACGAACCTATATCAGACTACTGAAGAAGTATATTTCGATTACAAAATAGAACTTAAGGAAATGTCTACTAAATTAAATCAACAAATGCCAACATTGCAGAGTACCACTAAGGCTTCAGATAAATCATGTGATATTAAATTACCAAAAATTTCTTTGCCAGTTTTTTCTGGTAACTATTCCGAGTGGATAAGTTTTAGAGATTTGTTTGTGTCCTTAATACATAGCAATAGCAAATTGGATGATGTACAAAAACTACATTATTTAAAGACTCATTTGTCTGGGGAAGCTGAAAGTCTTTTACGTCACATTCCTATTACTAGTAGTAATTACTCAACTTGCTGGTCACAGTTAGAAGGCAGATATGATAACACAAAATATTTAGCAAATTGTATTTTAAAACGATTTATGAGCCAAAAGAATATTGTAACTGAATCTGCCCATGCGTTAAAGGAATTATTGGACACATCTAATGAATGTTTACATGCATTAACTAACTTAGGAATTAGTGTCGTTAATTGGGACATAATAGTAATATATATTTTGAGCTTAAAGTTAGATAATGCGTCGCGCAAACAGTGGGAACTAAAAATTAGTGACGCTTCCAATCAGTTACCTACATTTAAACAATTTCAAGATTTTATTGAACAAAGATTTAGAGCTTTGGAATTCCTAGATGATGGCAAGGTTCGTAATGTATTATTGCAGCGTAAGGTATCCTCAGTAAAGGCACACTCGGTGTCTACTGCATTGTCTTGTTCCTATTGTCAAGATAATCATAAAATAGCAAACTGTAAAAAGTTCTGTCAACAAGACATTGATACGCGACGTGATTTTGTCCAAACGAATGGTCTATGCTTTAATTGCTTAGGTGTCAGTCACTCAGTATATTTGTGTCGCCAGTCAACAAGGTGTCGTTTATGTAAGAAAAAGCATCATACTTTACTACATTCTAAAAATATCGCGAAACCAGGTAATGAACAAAATACGGCTGTTCCTGCTATTGAGAAAGATGTTACTACAGCCCTATCAACTAACCCACCTCAGAGAGAGTCCACTGATATTGTTAGTTGTTTCTCAAATAGCCAAGGTCAAGTACTATTGGCCACAGCTTTGGTAAAGGCACAGTCGAGAAATGGGACCGTTATTGTACTAAGATCTTTGTTAGATCAGGGATCTCAGGCTTCATTCGTGACGGAGTCCATGGTCCAGCTATTAGGTCTTGAAAGGATACCTATCAGAGGTAAAATTACAGGCATTGGTGGTAATCAATGTCAATCCCTATCTTCTAATTCAATGGTTGTTATTCAGGTTCAGTCACGAGTTGACCCGAGCTTTGTCGTTGCTGTCAAGGCCTATGTTTTGAAAAAGTTAACAACTCTTTTACCACAGGAGAAGATAAGGACACAAGTTTTAACGACAGTCTCGTCTATGGAATTAGCTGATCCGTCATTTGCTAACCCAAATAAGATAGATCTGCTTTTAGGTGCCGAAGTTTATGGCCAGATAATATTGGAAGGATTAGTCAAAGGTCCACCAGGTTATGCAGTTGCACAAAATACCAAACTTGGCTGGATCTTGTCTGGCCATATAGGTAAATTCAACCATAACGAGACTAATCATAATTGTATTAGCCTACATTCATCACAACAGGAGGAAATTGAACTCCTAAAAAGATTTTGGGAATTAGAGTCCGAGCCTACCTGCGATTTAGAAACCAAGATGTTGAGTCCAGAGGAATCGCAATGTGAAGACCACTTTTCAACCACAACCAAACGAGATGAGTCGGGTAGGTATGTGGTAAAATTACCATTTAGGTCATCAGATCCTAGTTGTAAATATGGTGGATCAAGGGATATTGCTTTGAAACGATTCTTTATGCTTGAAAGGCGTCTAATGAAAAATCCTGATTTGAAGCAGCAGTATTCAGCTGTTATAAATGAATATTTGACTCTTAATCATATGGAGGTAGTGCAGGATATTGACAAAGAGGGTGCAGTGTATTTACCTCATCACGCAGTGGTACGTAATGATAAGAGCACCACTAAATTGCGTATTGTGTTCGACGCTTCTTGTGTTGGTACTAACGGTAAGTCCTTAAACAGTGATTTAATGGTAGGACCGTCGTTGCAACCTGATTTGCGACACATCATAATGCGTTGGCGATGCCATCCCATCTGCTTAGTGGCAGACATTATTAAAATGTACCGGCAGGTCAAGTTATCAGATGATGATGTTGATTATCTTCGAATTTTATGGCGAGAAAACCCAGATTTGCCAATGCAACAACTCCGGCATCTACGTGTAACATTTGGTACAGCTTCGGCTCCTTACTTGGCAGTCCGATCGTTGCAGCAGTTGGCCACAGATGAAGGAGCAGATTTTCCATTAGTCAAAGGCACCGTTCTGACCGATTTCTACATGGATGATCTCATGTCTGGGTGTGAATCGGTGTCAGAAGGGGTAGAAAAATATAAACAGTTAACCGAGATGCTGAACCGTGGTGGATTCCAACTTCAGAAGTGGTCTAGTAGTAGTGAACAATTATTAGAATCGATTAAGGATACAAAATCAGAATCAGAATGTAATTTAGAAATAAAAGCAGATGCAGTTTCAAAAATTTTAGGTCTAATGTGGAACAAGA